CATCGCCCTCTGAACATCAAATTTTCGTATCCACACCATACACATATCCAGCAGTGACGATGCTGACGGCGGCGACTGTGACTTTCTGGCTCAGAATCCGAAATATCTGCAATCCGCGGGTTCGCTGTGCTTTCGGATGGCAAATTTGATCCATTCAGGTCGAAATCGCTGAAAAACGCTTTTCAACAATTGATGAAGATATACGAACAATATGGGGTTTACTACTGCTACATGATTTTCAACGATTGTATACTTTAAAGCTCTTGAGAAAGAGAGAATTCATATTGAAATATGGAAAGAAAACCAAGAGCACCGAAAATGGATGCCATGAGAATGTGTTCTCGTGATGTTCAACGAGAACCCGCTACAAAAGCCAGCCTTGGCTTTCTTGGGATGGTTGAAGGCTTAGACAAGTTATGAGAGGACCGCAGCAGAGTGGATTGGTAGTATACTTTGCAATTTGAATCTCTCAGGAGGGCGCAAAACGTTTCTTATCAATCCCCGCCATCAAATGACTCATATAGCTATCCTTTGGCGCGTCACACACAAAAATACGAATAGCAGATCGCTGGATGATCTCCAAAAAATTGAGCAGCATAACGGTCTGATGTGAATATGTTATAGCGTTGACGACTCACAGTTGCAATTCTTTTTGATAACTCATATCATAATTAAGTAAAATCGACAAACGGCAAGCGATCCCCAGGTTGCACGAGGGCACCATTAAGAGAATAAGGTCTTGTTCAAGAGGATAGGGAAGTTTCTCACCAATCTTTGCGATTCCAAGATTTGTTGGCCAAATATTCAATCAGAGATCTGGACGAACCTTGGCAACCTGTCCAGCTTACTTCCACAGAACCAAGGTAGCTCAGTTGAAGTAGCATACGCTTTCCAATCGAAATTTGCAGGATTCATACTCGGATGAGGCAACTCGCCTTTGGTCTTTCCGAGGTAAAACAAATTAGCATCATTATGTGCGAAGGAGACATGAGATTACATACTTTGGGTATTCAAATTGTATTTTTTTCTGGTTGATAACGCAGGTCAACATCACATCACGAGCACAGTGAAAAAAATGATAAAAATCATTACATTATGTAAAAACCCTTATGTTTTATTCTTTATTTACCCTTGTTCTTTGATACCTGGTTTACCTACATCTGACTTCAGTGTACACGATTGTCTGTCTCACGTGATTCATCACTGCACGCTTCCGTATAGCATTTAGCTTATTCTCTTTGCTACCAGTTGGTCACTACTGAAACACATCTGTCATCAAGCTGTCATGCGATTTCGTCTGCCCATCACCTTGTTCGTTCTAATAAGATTTATGCATCGTCCTTCGTTTCTGTGCATATTCATATTTCTTCATTCCGCAGTTTGTCCATGATAGACTAAATTTAGTAGCACAAACTAAGGAAAATTCACTCCTTGCTTTAATGAACACCGTCAGTGTGATCAAGCTGAGAAAGTGATTGTTGGATGAGTCACTGCATGCAACAGCCCAGTGATTGCCTGGAGTAGAGATTAGCATATTAAATCAATGAAACAGATTAGGAAAACTCTGACCCTGACATGACAAGTCAATTCATACTTCCATAACAAAAAAATATTTCCCACGGTGACGGACGGCTGCGTGCCTTCAAACTGTCTGAGACGCTAGTTCGTCGAAGGACCTCTCTCCTCTTCAAAGGGAGCTACCCACCTGGCTACGTTGTAAGCTTCTTCGCCTCCTCGCTGTTGCTTAAGTTCTTCTGCTTGTGTCGCAACGCTCTTCACAGATCCAGTTTCAAAATTCGCGTTCGGGTCGAGAGTGACGACCAGATAACGGATTACGTGGAAGACGTATTCATTAGCAATGAAGACTGTCATCAGATCAGAATGCCTCCGTTTTATCATAGTGGGAATTTGACTATGAAAATGTTTCTCTTACTCTCAACGTGAATCGCCATGCACATCAGTTCAGAAAGAGGAATTATTAAATAGCGTAATGCCGTTTCCTTCTAAGAAGAGATTATGATTCTTGAGATAAACAGATCGAATGATCTGGACTTGAGGCAGATAAAATCGGAAGTCGACGACACAAGAATACCTACATGATATTGGTGGATGCGGAATCATGCGACAACGGTTGCCAAAACGTTTAGCATAGTATCGTCATTCATCTTTCTAGATGGAAGATGAGGTTCAGTGCTGTTGCTAGTTTCGAGGATCTTCACCTGACGCCTGTTTAAGCGCTATAGGATGTTCTCGCTGTAACGAATGCATGTTTCAGACCCATAAAGCAGTAGAACATGTCACAAGGATACGTTTGCCCCAAAAATAATGACGCAATGCAAGTTGTCTTCGACTCTCTGAGTAAATGATATTCTGATCAAAACGCTAACCGTATTTTTTTCATCGCTGTCGTCCCCAAGTTGTGAAACATTCGTTCGTATATCCGCTATTTGCTAAAGTAGTACAGTATATTAAACTACGCAGTTTTGTCCAATTGAAGAGTACAAATGAAATAATTAGGAACGAAGAATTGAAAGCTACAAGTTTTCTTTGTCATGTCGTCTAGCATTTGAGCAAAATGTGGAAACTCACGGGCAAGACGAAGAAAGGATTTTACAATGTTTAATGAACGATACTGTTAAATGAAAGGAAAACAACGTCCTTTCGCACTGGTATACCCAGATTTAAGCGATTAAAGACATAATCATTGCCCAAATTGATAAATCCATTGTCAGAAGGTGAATGACATTAATCCTTCTAAGTATAAGTGAGAAAGTAACTACTGATCTCAAATTACCAAGCGGTGTTACATAATCTAAATACATCAGAAAACTCTTTAATACCTCATTGGAGAGTCTAACATGGAGTAGTACATCGTCAAAGTGCTTTCGTCTGACTGATTAGACCACAAATTTACTACACCACCATTCGCATTCT